CCCGGCTAATTTTTTTGTATTTTTAGTAGAGACAGGGTTTCACTGTGTTAGCCAGGATGGCCTCGATCTCCTGACCTCGTGATCCGCCCGCCTCGGCCTCCCAAAGTGCTGGGATTACAGGCTTGAGCCACAGCATCTGGCCTCAATACTCTTTTTAAATGACTTTAAATAACGAAACCAGTATTATAACATATGAATATGACAAGTAACTTACTGACCCCCTTCTGCAGAGTTGATTTTACTCTTCTAATTCCTGAATATACTTCCCACTAGTTCCCTGGGACAAAATTTCCCAAGGTGGGAACCCTGGGTCTTAAGAAAACATTTAAGGCTTTTGATACACTTGCCAGACTGCCCTCTGGAAAGGCTGTCCACCCCGCACATACCCCCTTCTCGCAGGAAAGAACTGCCACCCCTACATTCTTTGGCAAGGGACTTCTTTTTAGTGAACAAAAGAGCACAAAGGGCACTGTCCAGCCTGGACATCAAGGGTTGCCCGTCTGAAGCAGGAAAGGTGTGCCCTTGACAGTGACTTATGTCCGTGACCCACCGCCAGCACTGGGATACTTTAATGTGCCAGCAGAAAGAGAAGGGGCCACTTAGAGTTAACAGATTCTTAAGAGCCAACAAAGAGTTTTTCTGGATGTAGAATACCAAGTACAGCAAGGGAAGTGACCTTAAAAAAAAAAAAATGGAAGTTCCCCCCAGACGAGGTCTGGCTGGCTGTCTGGGGCCAGCATGCTGACCTTCAGGTCTTCTGGCAAAGAATCAAGGTGGCCCGAGTGAGAAAACAAGTTAGTCATAAACAGACTACCACGCGTCTCCCGGCTGACTGCGGGCACCTCGGGTCTACAGAGAGCCCTGCCAGCTTCTACTTCCTGCAGCCACGGGTGGACTAAGAACATGGCTGCCATTCTTCTCACAGACTAAAGCAACTTTAAGATAAGGCCTTTGAGGAAGGGGAGCTTTATGCTGACTATTCATCATATTCACAAACATTCAGAAAAAGCAAACAGTGGGAAATTCTTTGCTACAATCACTGAAATGTCACGAGACAATGTCATAGTTCAAAAGGGAAGCCCTGCAATTCAACTCACCCTAGAAGCCTGCTGGAATAAAAGTCACAGCTGAGCCAAGAGAATATTGCTTCTACTGAAGAAAAATTGCTTTCAAAGGCTCTGTCAGGAAATCAACTCATAGTATAATAGAACAGCGGCAGCCATGCAGCGAGGGTTCTTTGTGTGGCCACACAGGTATTCCTCTCATCTGAACTACATGGAATTATCATCCTCCTCGCAAGAAAAGGGACTCACAGGGATTAGGAACCCCATCCCAGGACACACCGCTGGCAAAGGTCTGAGGCAGGATCCAAAGGCCCAGGTCTGTTGGAAGCCAAAACACAGTGCTTAACTGGCTTGGAGACCTCACTTGCACTTGAGCTGAGCCACCCGCACGCGCTTCCCCTGTACTCACCCCCAGCGAGGAGTATGCCTCCGTGCTCATCCACCAAAGTCAGAGAAGCTATGTCAGGCAGAGAGGTGGGGGCTGCCTCACAGACAGCCAAGGTGTGAAATAAACACAAACACCATTTTGTAATCAATGATTTTTATCTCTGAAAATGGAAGCAAGTGTTTTGACAGAACACTATGGCCACTCTATAAGAGCCGATGTAGGAATAATTCACTGTCCTCTTCCGGGATGTCAGGGCTTAAAAAAAAAAAAAAAAAAAAAGACAAAACAGGAAAATAATCCACAATGCTTTGGGCGCCTCCTCTGAGCTTGGCTGGGCTTATTCATTAAATAAGTCATAAGCTACAAACTAATATCAGGGTAACTTTCCCTTGCCCTCCTGCTTCTCTTTGAACCACATGCCCTACGGTGTTTCACCATCATCAACAACTTTGTTTACTTCATTAATTCGATATCAGAACCTTAAAACATTTCTGAATCTTAGACACAAAGGTCCTCAGCAGATTACACTGATAAAGAAACAAATACAGGTTTGAATATAACTCATTGTCATTATTGTTTTCTTTACATCTCATGATCCACTTCAATATTAAACACACACATACACACACACGAAACCACATCAAACATTCAGATGCCCTGAAATTGTGGAGACAGCACTCCCAATATTGGCTGGATAAGAACATGGTCCTTTTTCTATATGGGCATTACTCCAAGTTCAGCTGCCACCACACTCTGCCCTCACCCTGGCTCCCTGAATACAGACGTTTCCAACCAGTCCCATGCCCACACCAGCACGAGCATGTGCAAGAATTCCCTTCATGGTCCCAATGGCACTATACATTTCACGTTCAATCACAGACAGCCCCTTCCAGAACAGAGGCTCCTTACATCTTGTTTCCCAAGCATGCACTATAAGAAACTGGAAATGGGCAAAGTTCTAGCTAACCGAGGAATGAACAGGCAACCAGAGCTCAGTCTCTGGTCCCCTCCAAGTCCGGGGAGCCTCTGTGCTTTGATGCAGGCTTGGTGAGAGATGGAGAGGCGGGGCAGATTAGTTGTGCAGAGGGACATGTTTGTACACATTAAAGCTACAGCAGAGGT